TTACACTTTTGAATTCCATCTACACTCCTGCCTTACACTTTCAACATCCTAATCCTACATTTCTGTTTCACCCCTCCCTCATGCAAAAATTAAATTTACAACTTGCTCCAGCCAAACTCCTGTCTGTCACTTCCAGTTCCCTCTACCCACACTCCAGTTTTACATTTTTGATTCCCTCCTTCTTTAGTTCCGTCCAACACATCAGATACATTCTTCCCATACTTCTTTATTGGTCTTTATTGCTGTCTGGGACCCCAGCAGAGAGATCTTCTCTCATCCATGGCATGTTGGTGAAGAAGGCACCTTCCCATACTTCTCTCTTACTCTTCAGATTCCTTTCTCCCTTTGTTCCTGTGTACACATCTGATTCCCTTCTTTCATGCTCCTCTCATACAGTTATGACCAGGGGTGGACTGGCAACTAATGGGGCCCCCAGGCAATAGGGGATCATGGGGCCCCTGTGTCCTTGCCCAAACTCAAAAAAGCCTATGAAAAAAGGTACCAGGGGCATCTCATGGGGCCCCCTACTGAGTTTCCAAATGGTCAGTCCGCCCCTGGTTAGGACTCCCTGTCAAGCTATAGACTTGTGTAGCGCAGAGCTGGGACTGTTCTACCTGTATTTCCCAATCACTCAAGCCAAAGAACAGGCTGTGCATGTCTTTTTTGTTTTTAATTTTGTTAGAGAACTGGCATAGGGTGAGGGTGAGCCTAGGGATACTTCAAAAAGGTAGTAGAGGATACTAACGCTGAACTGAGACTTTGGAGTGAAGTTGTAGACAAATTGGTACTAGACAAGGACTCCTCAAGAGGAATACAGTCCTGAGTGTACTTAGTAGCAAATTTAAACTTCAGGGTGAAGGCACCCTTTTGTGAAGTGAAGTCAAAGTGGTACTAAACAGGAATTCCCTAACAGGAATACTGTCCTGAATGTACTAGCAGTAAAGCAGTAAAACGCACTGTGTCCTGAATACTGTGTAGCCACATTCAGTATCAGTCAACGTCTGTACTAAAACTTCCTGTATCCTGGATCCTTAGGAAGGTTTCTAAAAATGCTTCAAGAGACTACAGCAGAGGTCCACCAGCCAAACAGTAACCGATATGCCATAAAAGATTCCTGCAAATGCAGGTATATCTCCCAGGGATGCCACAGCCCTCAGGCTAGGTTTTATTCCCCCAGGAACAAGAAACCCCTCTGCCCTGGGTTCCAGCCCATTTTTACTTCTCTCATTCCCCTGCTGGTCACTCTCTATATTGACCAGGGATTGGCTGGAGAGCCATTAAATATGCATGCTGGAGTCTGTGCTCTTCCACCCACTATGTTCTAGGGTCCCCTGGGAGATAGGGGGAAGTAGCCGAGCCCACACCAGCTGAACCCAGAGCAGACCTTACCTAACAATTACAGGGAGGCCAAAAAATAAATTTAAACAAACAATAGCTTAATGGGGTGCTACATATGTGTTTCAATATAGTGAATGGCGGCCACAGTATGCAAGTGAGATTATGGCCAGAGTCTGTGTGGTGGTCGGGTAGGCTGAAGATCAGCAATCAAGGTACTTAAAATATAATGAGATGGTTTGGGGGCTGTAGAAAAGAATAAGAGTATTAAAATGGCCTTATCTTTTAAAACTGTATTCCAGCCCACTGCAGTCTCAGATTGAAAAGCACCTACAGAAAAAAAAAAAAATCTCTTTCTGATGTTTGATAACAATTACTTTAAAGTATGTAACATTGGGACAATTTTTATCTAGTAGTTTGATATAAATGCTGAGGGATTTTCCTGCCACTCATTATAACTGACGGAGTGTCTTGGAAAAGCTACAGAACATCTTCAGCATCACAGAAGTGCAGTTGAACGTGACTAACTACTACTCGATATACCATGACCTAGATGAATTAGAACCTTCACAGATATTGATGCACTTTGCCAAATATTGTTGAAACCCTTCTTTTTTTTAATTTATTTTGCTTGAAAAAAGACAACTACTTCCATGCTGAAAATATAAATATATTCTACATTAAACATGTACAGTGCCCATTGATGCCAACGAGGAGGTACTACATTTTGGAAATATCACTGTCCCCACCAACAAGCTGAACATAGCCAAGGCTGGCTACATGTAGTAGCAAGGGATAATTATGTAGTGGGGCCTCATACAAATACTCTGTGGACAGGCACAATTGCTGCAGCTAAATGAGCTTTCATGATAGTGTCGACTCTAATGATATCCTGCCCTTGGTTTGTGAGGTAAATGCCACGAGGGCAGTAGTCTGTTTCAATCACGGCCCATTTATAAAGCTCTTTGGCTGCTGTGCTGTTGCTTCCTTACCGGTGTAAAACAAAGTGACACGCTGAAGATTGAAAGGCGCAACTTTGAGCAGAATAACTCAGCCGGCCAGCTGTTGGGCCTAATCCCATTTCCTCACGTCTCCTCGGCTGTTGCCAAGCATCTTCGTGGTGAGGAGCCTACGTGATATGTTTTCAGCGGTTTTGTTCTCAGCGAGGAACAAATGTCTCGTATTGTAAGCAGAGCGTTCCCAGAGCCACCTCACAGCAACCTAAATTGTCTCACAGAAGCTTTTACCAAGACCAGAAGACCAGATAACATTTGGCCCTTCTATTAGAGTGGAACTGTATTGGTTTTTGGACAATGCTATGTATTTTTTCTTATGTGATTAATATATATATATATATATATATATATATATATATATATATATATATATAAATAAAATCCACTTACAGACCAAGTTCAGAAGTTTCAATCAGTGTTTTTTGCAAGAAAGTTACTTATAACCCCAAACATTATACTGTATATATATATATATACATATATATATATATTTTTATTTTTTTAAATAAATAAGTAAAAAAAACACACACACACACATATACATACATATACAGTGGGGATCGAAAGTTTGGGCACCCCAGCTAAAAATTTGTATTAATGTGCATAAAGAAGCCAAGGAAAGATGGAAAAATCTCCAAAAGGCATCAAATTACAGATTAGACATTCCTATAATATGTCAACAAAAGTTAGATTTTATTTCCATCCTTTACACTTTCAAAATGACAGAAAACAAAAAAATGGCGTCTGCAAAAGTTTGGGCACCCTGCAGAGTTAATATCTTGTACTGCCCCCTTTGGCAAGTATCACAGCTTGTAAACACTTTTTGTAGCCAGCCAAGAGTCTTTCAATTCTTGTTTGAGGTATCTTTGCCCATTCTTCCTTACAAAAGTCTTCCAGTTCTATGAGATTTCTGGGCTGTCTGTCACGCACTGCTCTTTTAAGGTCTATCCATAGATTTTCAATGATGTTGAGGTCAGGAGATTGTGAAGGCCATGGCAAAACCTTCAGTTTACGCCTTTTGATGTAATCCCCTGTGGATTTTGAGGTGTGTTTAGGATCATTATCCATTTGTAGAAGCCATCCTCTCTTTAACTTCAGCTTTTTCACAGATGGCATCAAGTTACCATCCAAAATTTGCTGAAATTTTATTGAATCCATTTTTCCTTCTACTCGTGAGATGTTCCCTGTGCCACTGGCTGCAACACAACCCCAAAGCATGATTGATCCAACCCCATGCTTAACAGTTGGACAGAGGTTCTTTTCATTAAATTCTGTGCCCCTTCTTCTCCAAACGTACCTTTGCTCATTCCAGCCAAAAAGTTCTATTTTAACCTCATCGGTCCACAGAACTTGTTTCCAAAATGCATCAGGCTTGTCTATATGTTCATTTGCAAAGTTCAAATGATGATTTTTGTGGTGAGAACGTAGAAGAGGTTTTCTTCTGATGACTCTTCCATGAAGACCATATTTGTACAAGTATCTCTTTATAGTGGAATAGTGTACCACAACTCCAGTGTCTGCCAGATCTTTCTGGAGGGATCGTGCAGTCAAACGTGGGTTTTGAATTGTTTTTCTCACAATCCTGCAAGCTGTTCTGTCTGATATTTTTCTTGGTCTTCCAGATCTTGCTTTAACTTCCACTGTTCCTGATGACTGCCATTTCTTAATTACATTCCGAACAGAGGATATTGACATCTGAAAACGCTTTGCTATCTTCTTATAGCCTTCTCCAGCTTTGTGAGCGTCAACTATTTTCAGTTTCAGTTTTCTAGACAACTGCTTAGAAGAACCCATGGTGCTGATTGTTGGGGCAAGGTCAGATGAGTCTGGGCATTTAAAACCTTTGAGATTGACATAACCTGGTCTTCCCAGACCATGATTGAGAACAATCCATGACACTGGCAGGTCTCAGCTTTGCAAAGGGGGCAGTGCATGCTATAAATTCTGCAGGGTGCCCAAACTTTTGCAGACGCCATTTTTTTTTTGTTTTCTGTTATTTTGAAAGTGTAAATGATGGAAATAAAATCTAACTTTTGTTGACATATTATAAGAATGTCTAATCTGTAATTTGATGCCTTTTGGAGATTTTTGGCTTCTTTATGCACATTAATACAAATTTTTAGCTGGGGTGCCCAAACTTTCAATCCCCACTGTATATATATATATATATATATATATATATATATATATATATGTGTATATGTGTGTGTGTATATATATATAAAATGCTTTTATTTTTTGTTAGCAAAGACCTTAGAGAATAAAATGGTGACCCTTGCAATTTTTTACGTCACGTGGTATTTATGCAGCGGCTTTTCAAATGCAATTTCAAATACACGTTTATGAAAAAAAAAAAAAAAACACAACATATACCCTAATCTTTTGTAAAATATGAAAGAGAATGTTGTGGTGAGTAATTAGATACCCAACATGTTGCACTTTAAAATTGTGTACACTCATGGAATAGTGAAAAGCTACTGTACTTAAAAATCTCCATTAGTGACGCTTTAAAAATGTTTACAGGTCATTTGTTTAGAGTTACAGAGATAATAAGATAATAATTATTGTTCTCGCTCTAATGTTTGCGGTGATACCTCACATGAGTGCTGTGACACCGGTTACATAGGTGTGCATAACTTATGTATGCACTTTTGTGCATGAGCACGGAGGGATGGGGATGCTTTAAAAAAAACTTTTTCCCTATTTGTTTTATTTTTATTTTTTACACTGTCCCTTTATTTTATTTTATTTTTTTTATCACTTGTATTCCTATTACAAAGAATATAAACATCCCTGGTAATAGAAATACGCCTGACAGGTCCTCTTTAAAGACAGATGTGAAATCAAAGAGACCTCAAATCTACCTTTAAAAGAAAAAGATCAAAAAAGTTTGGATCTTTGCTTTAAAAAAAAAAAAAAAAAAAGTTTACATCCACTCTTGACCATAGAGGCGATCAGAGACCATAGAGTCTCTCATCGCCTCTGTGAGCAGCTGGCTGCACTGTCGGATATTTCTTAGGCGCTTCAGGTTTAACTGTAAGCCCGAGAAGCACCAGCGAGGGATGGGGGGAGTCCCCTCCCACTGCTGCTGAAAGCAATCCAGTGGCTAATGAGCTGCTCAGCCTGCTTTCATTGGAAATGCCACTGACAGAAAAAAAAGATACCAAGGTTATGGCTGATTTCGGCCATAAACCTGGCAAGCCACTGGAAAACCACAACAAATATGTATATATATTTATTACGGCCATTGAATGGATATACAGACATGGCCAAAAATATTGGCACCCCTGCATTTCTGTCAGATAATGCAACACTTTGCCAGAAACTTGTTGCCATTACAAATGTTTTGGCATTCTCATGTTTATTTATTTTGTTTGTATTGGTATGACACAAAAAAGTGGAGAAACAAAAAGCCAAATCTGACACATTCCACGCAAAACCCCAAAAATGGACACAATTTTTGGCACCCTCAGTTTAATATTTGGTAGCATACCCCTTGGAAAAAGAAAAAATAACTGAAATCCACATAATGAAAATTCAGTGTGAATTTTGATTCATAATGAATCGCACATGTATAATATATTCACTCATACATTCATTCTTTCTGCTTCTTCCCATCAAATCCCAACAATGGCATCCAGGTTTATCATTCGTCATTTCAATTACATGGTTCCATCCATGGTTGCCAGATTTCTTTGGATTTTTGGGATCTCGATCCTCCTTTGTACACTGTCTTCAATTTTTTTATTTTTCAAAATAAAATATTCTTAAGCATTCAAAAGAGTAAGCTTAAAGTAGGGGGATTTGAGTCCTTCCAGTGGATCAGTAACACTTTAGAAGAGCATTGTTTAGAACATAGATCTTTGATATGTATAAAGAACAAACGCATTTTGTATTCTCAAAAGATACACTTCAGGTTTTTTGGGTGCAATGTGTATTTGGGGCCAGTTACTGTGCGGACAAGTCCCAACCAAGTACTTGCTGACCAATACCTTAGAATTCCCCCATATCATTCGGGGATGGGTTGTAGTCTCCTTGTTTAGTAGAGATGAGTGGACAGTTTCTCTGAACTCGATTTTGTGGCAAAATCCTAACCCCTAATTTAGGGGTTTAGGGTTACTGTATCTTTAACTTAATTTGTTAATCAAGCCATTTATCACCATGTCAGCAGTAACACTGTCACTATATTTCTCTCTAGGTACATTTGATATACACCTAGAAACAATGAACATCATTATTATTATTATACAGGATTTATATAGTGCCAACAGTTTGCGCAGTGCTTTACAATATAAGGGAGACAGTACAATTACAATACATTTCAGTACAGAAGGAATAGGAGGGCCCGGCTCGTGGAGCTTACAATCTAAAGGAAGGGGGAGGTGATACAAAAGCTGATAGCTGGGGGGATGATCTGGCGGATGTGATTCAAGTACTGTTCTTAGGTGGAGGTGGGGTAGGCTTCCCTGAAGAAGTGAGCTTTCAAAGATCACCTAAAGGCAGACAGGGTGGTGGCTGACCGGACATGCTGTGGTAGGGAGTTCTAGAGGATGGGAGAGGCTCTGGAGAAGTCCTGGAGGCGAGCGTGGGAGGAGGTGATGAGGGAGCTAGAGAGGAGGATATCATGAGAGGAGCGGAGTGGGCGATTTGGGTGGTATCTGTGGATGAGGTTGATGTAGCTAGGGGCAGTGTTGTGGATGGCTTTGTAAGCTGTGGTTAGTATTTTGAATTTTATACGTTGGGTTAGTGGAAGCCAGTGGAGGGATTGGCAGAGAGGGGCAGCAGTCGCTGATCGGTTGGTAAGGTGTATGAGTCTAGCAGCAGCATTCATAATAGACTGAAGGGTGGATAGCCTGTGTAACAGTAGACCAGTGAGGAGGGAGTTGCAGTAATCGAGGCGGGATATAACCAAGGCGTGGATAAGTTGTTTTGTGGTGTCATTGGTCCGGAGGGGGCGGATTTTGGAAATGTTCCGGAGGTTGAGGCGACAGGATTTAGCCAGTGAGTGGATGTGGGGCCCAAAGGAGAGGTCAGAGTCTAGGATTTCTCCTAGCACCCTGGCATGAGGGGAAGGAGCAATGGTTGTGCTGTTGATCTTAATGGTAAAGTTGTGAGTGGGGGATCGGGGAGGAGGAAATATTACAAGCTCAGTTTTTGAAAGATTGCGTTTAAGGTAGTGATGTGACATCCATGCTGATATGTTGCTTAGTAGATTTGTGATACGTGAGGAGATTGAGGGGGTGAGCTGGGTGAGTCCAGAACAACATCATTGTTCTGGACCAACAGACTTCATAATTGAGACAATGATGGACCACACCTACAGTGGGGATCGAAAGTTTGGGCACCCCAGCTAAAAATTTGTATTAATGTGCATAAAGAAGCCAAGGAAAGATGGAAAAATCTCCAAAAGGCATCAAATTACAGATTAGACATTCTTATAATATGTCAACAAAAGTTAGATTTTATTTCCATCATTTACACTTTCAAAATAACAGAAAACAAAAAAATGGCGTCTGCAAAAGTTTGGGCACCCTGCAGACTTAATATCTTGTACTGCCCCCTTTGGCAAGTATCACAGCTTGTAAACGCTTTTTGTAGCCAGCCAGGAGTCTTTCAATTCTTGTTTGAGGTATCTTTGCCCATTCTTCCTTACAAAAGTCTTCCAGTTCTTTGAGATTTCTGGGCTGTCTGTCACGCACTGCTCTTTTAAGGTCTATCCATAGATTTTCAATTATGTTGAGGTCAGGAGATTGTGAAGGCCATGGCAAAACCTTCAGTTTACTCCTCTTGATGTAATCCCCCGTGGATTTCAAGGTGTGTTTAGGATCATTATCCATTTGTAGAAGCCATCCTCTCTTTAACTTCAGCTTTTTCACAGATGGCATCAAGTTACCATCCAAAATTTGCTGAAATTTTATTGAATCCATTTTTCCTTCTACTCGTGAGATGTACCCTGTGCCACTGGCTGCAACACAACCCCAAAGCATGATTGATCCAACCCCATGCTTAACAGTTGGACAGAGGTTCTTTTCATTCAATTCTGTGCCCCTTCTTCTCCAAACGTACCTTTGCTCATTCGGCCAAAAAGTTCCATTTTAACCTCATCGGTCCACAGAACTTGTTTCCAAAATGCATCAGGCTTGTCTATATGTTCATTTGCAAAGTTCAAACGATGATTTATGTGGTGAGGACGTAGAAGAGGTTTTCTTCTGATGACTCTTCCATGAAGACCATATTTGTAAAAGTATCTCTTTATAGTGGAATAGTGTACCACAACTGCAGTGTCTGCCAGATCTTTCTGGAGGGATCGTGCAGTCAAACGTGGGTTTTGAATTGTTTTTCTCACAATCCTGCGAGCTGTTCTGTCTGATATTTTTCTTGGTCTTCTAGATCTTGCTTTAACTTCCACTGTTCCTGATGACTGCCATTTCTTAATTACATTCCGAACAAAGGATATTGACATCTGAAAACGCTTTGCTATCTTCTTATAGCCTTTGTGAGCGTCAACTATTTTCAGTTTCAGTTTTCTAGACAACTGCTTAGAAGAACCCATGGTGCTGATTGTTAGGGAAAGGTCAGATGAGTCTGGGCATTTAAAACCTTTGAGCTTGACATCACCTGGTCTTCCCAGACGATGATTGAGAACAATCCATGACACTGGCAGGTCTCAGCTTTGCAAAGGGGGCAGTGCATGCTATAAATTCTGCAGGGTGCCCAAACTTTTGCAGACGCCATTTTTTGTTTTCTGTTATTTTTAAAGTGTAAATTATGGCAATAAAATCTAACTTTTGTTGACATATTACAAGAATGTCTAATCTGTAATTTGATGTCTTTTGGAGATTTTTCCATCTTTCCTTGGCTTCTTTATGCACATTAATACAAATTTTTAGCTGGGGTGCCCCAAACTTTCGATCTCCACTGTATGTAATGTGCACTGTATGAGCATGGCTTCTCATACTCTGCATCAGGGGTTCATGTGGTCACAACAAAGGAGCACAATTAGGTGACGGTTGTCACACTATAACAGATATTGCATGAAGGAACGTAGACCTTTATGGGAGGATCACCAGGTATAATTTGAATGAGATTTGCAGATTTAAAAAGTTTAAAAACAAGGTTTGAAATAATGGTAACATGTTAAAATCCATATGAGATTTTAGTGATTGGGTTTGGATGGACTAAAAACAGCATTGCTCCAGAGACAAATCATTATAGAGTGCTGTACAGCATAGAGAGCCAGCCACCCTACGCATGGTTCTTCCAAATGTCGCTAAGATGAAACTCTGGCAAGGTTAGCAGAGGAAAGTGCCTCATATTTCTTGGTAATTTGTGTCTCACTGTGGTTCATTGCTGTGACATAGATGTTTCTTCATCCCGGCATCAGGGAAGCAAAAAAGGTTTGCCTATTATGTGAACAAATCGTCTCAATAAAAGACCTCGGCCTGCAGCCGACTGGCGGAGGACTTCCATCTTTCACACTTTGCGATGGTTTTTCGTATAACGTGCTATCTTTGTTTGTCATAATAAATCTGTCGGTTTAAATGTCACATTTATTCTACATCAATTGAGCATGGAACATTGCGTACTTTGAAAAGCTGCGTCCCAGAGGTCTGAAAATTTAGGTGCACATTACAGAAAATGCTCTCATTTGTTCCTTCATCGAGAATTACAGCAATAAATTATATAGGTGACAATATGTGTGTGTTAAGTGGAGGAAGGAGGAAAAAAATGAAGCAACACTGATAAAGCCTTTATCTG